TTTTTTTTTTTTTTTTTTTTTTGGTAGAAATGCAAAGCCACAGGGTAGCAGAATTCTCATCTTAGTTCCTGGCCTGTTGCATAACCTTGGGAGTAAATTATTTTAGCTTACTGTAACCTTTGCTTTGATGCACATAACTCAATAAAAACAAATATTTACTGAACACCTAATATGTGTGGGGCACTGTGCTAAGGGCTAGGGAAGCAAAGATTATTGAGATGTGTGACCGCTGCTGTTAATGAGAAATTTACTTTGTTTTGGCAAGCTTTATGAAGAAAAAGAGGACGAAAGGAAAGAACAGAAGGGAAGTAATAAAGAAAGTTAAGGAAAGAAAAAAAAAGGGAGGACAGGTGTCACGTAAGGAGGGAGGAGAGGGAAGTAGGAGAGGGCAAGGAGAGGACAAGGGTCAGCATATAAAATTTAGAGCAAAGTTCCTAATTCCACTAGGTGGCAAAGCAGAGCTTACAAAAGGAAAGGACAGTCACACATTGGCAATTTTTCATGTCAAAAGAAGACAAAATATAAAAAAACAAACATTGGGAAATTTTTCCTACTCTAAAATTTTTATTATTCTAAAACTATGTTACATAGATTTTTTGCAAAAATTTGACATTGATGAGATGAAGAACAAAATCTCTCCTTTTTGTGGTCGTTGCTTCTCAAAGGTACACTTAAATGTTATGTTAAAGCATGGAACCAGATCGGTAACATAATGTGTCAAATATCTAACCATGTTGTACGATGCTTTTTGTAGCTGGAAGGCATAAGTATACTGCAATTCAGAAAGTTATGGTAACCTTGGTACAAAAGTCTCTTTCATAGAAGAATATAGACACGTGATTTCAAATTTCTCACTCTGTCTCCTTCGGTATTCAGTGTCTGCAACAGGTCACCACAGGATACAAACTTGTGTATATACTGAGGACTGTGGTATGGGTTCTACTCAGATGATGTCAATTAACTTTCAGGACAACTGCATGGTAACTGTCATATACATATTTTAGAGTTAAATTAGGTGAGATGAAGTAAGTTATCTGTCCAAGCACACACCGTTGTTAAGTGGCAGGGCTGGGACTCAAACTCACCTAGACTTCAAAATTTATGCTGTTTAATATGCTATGGTCTGCTACATAGATGTGTATTTTTATCAGCAGTAGTATCTGCATCCAATACTATACACACATATGTATATGTGTGTGTGGATATATATATATATCCATATATATACACACGTATACGTATATATACATATACGTGTGTATATATACATTTATGTACATATATACACATATACATATACACAGATGCACATATATGTACACATATACACACATACATATGTATATATATACATATATATATAGTCTGTATATTATACTTTTAAATGGTATTTGGCTTATATTTTAATACTTTCATGCATTTGTTATACACATATAATTAATGTAAGCATAACAAATGATATGGTATTTTTCATTTTTCTTATTTTTCACTTTGAACTATGTGTTTAACAAATATTAAATATTAAATAGTGTTTTTCTTTTGTTATCGACTGACATAACATTTACCTTAAAAAGCAGTCTTACGAGTTGGCAGGAAGAGTTGAGACAAACCATCTGAACTAGAATTAAGAAACTCAACTTCAAAAAACAGGTGGTTAAAGAAGTAACTTAGACCCAAGAAAAAGGGATTGGGAATCAGGGAGCAGAGCCTCATCTCTACATTTTTGCAAACTCTTATATCAAACGATCAAAACCCAGAAAAACAAAAGCCAAATGGGACTCCTAAAAATAAACAAACAATATTACTACCTCACGATCAATTCCTCATCAAGGAAAAGGATGTCAACATGTGCAACACTGCACAGAACTCCCACACATCCACTAGGGTAAAACAAGTCAATCTAGAATGCCCTCAGTTCTCTTTGCATGCTGTTCTCCTTAGTTTCTGATTATACAGAGGACAAATCTTGGCTTATGGCATTCAGTGATCCCTATCAAACAGATTCACTGCACTGGAGATAGTTATTTTAAAGTGAAGGGTATTCACATCCAAAATTAGAAAAATCCTGTTAACCAACAGTTTGTTTTATAGTTTTGATGTATTGGGAATACCTGTTTCCTGTTGTTCTCATGAAATGACTTACATGTTTAAGTTAGCAATACAGGCAAAATACCTTTCAGAATTTACTCAGAAGTCATTGAAGAGGCCCTCCTAGATACCCAGACTAGGCTGTCTCCTTCTTTTCTTATAATACCATGCACTTTTCATCCAAAGCATTCAACATAATGGTTATTTGTATAATTGCTTAGATGATAAATTTCATGAGAACAGGAAGCAGTTCTTTCTTGGTAACTGCTGCTTACTCTAAGATAAAGTTGTCTCTTTTCTAAGAGAAAAATGTAAATAAAACACCAGGTAGTAGTATCAGTATAAAATACTATACTTAAAAGATTTTGGAACTTGGTTGAAACTTTTTCCAGTTACAAAGAGTTGAAGTTAATTCAGATTGTCAGCTGATACTCCATTTCCTTATATAGAGTAATGGACAAAGAAACTGACCATGAATGTTATAAGCTCCTCCCAATAACTTGTCTTCCCTCTACTACTATTATCACTACACTGAAGTAAACTTCTAGACCTAGGAAGCTCCATGTTTTTCAATCCCTGAAACCATCTCTTTCTGTACAAATAGCTAACTAAATCTACTATAATTAAATGTGAAGGAGAAAAAAAAGGGGAAAAAATGTGAAAGAGGAAACCATAGACTCTAATCAGAAAGCATATATTCCAGTATTAGTTGTATAAGGCAACTATAATACTAGGCTTAATGTCTAACTATGAAAATAGAGATTTTGTAAAATTCTAATTTTTTTTTGTTACCTGTATCTATATCTGTATCTACACAAAAAATCTTTCTGTAACCGATACTTAAAGACAAATGTTTCTCTCCAGTCAGTTCTACCAGTCATAGGTGACTTTCATTCATTTATAATAGCCATTTTTAATACAGGATCATTTGATTATTCATTCTTTCAATATGCTAAATATTTTTAAAAGTACGTATTATATTTCAAAAACTTGTTTTCAACTTTAATACATCTTTTTAAATAGCCATTACAGATTGTTCTATCATATCTGATATGAAAATTATTAGTGTTCTAAAGAGCCCACAAGTTTTGAAGACTGCAGAGTAAGCCTAAAGATTTTAATTCAGCTGACTAAAGAAAGCATAATAAACCACACCTATTAACCTACTGAGAACAGATGAGTTACTCCTTTTTTAACTTGGATATTGCAGGGATGAAAATAAAAGTACATAATTATAAAGTATGCCATAAAGAAACCTCTGGCATGTGCTTAACTAAAAGATACAAGAAGAACCAAGTTTATACAATTGACAGAATATACTAGTGTTGCCCTAAGAGCTTTACAAACCTGATGTAGTTTTCCAAAGGATATTTACTTTCTGAAAGCCCGTGAGTTTAAAAATAGACTATGGCTTTTTAAAGACACTAAATATATTCACTTTAAGAAAACAAGTCTAGCAGCTTAAGTGTGGGCAATGAGTGGCAACAACATTATATGTTTTTCAGTGTGATAAAATTTATGTTTTAGAATTAAAACAGATATTAATAATTAGGATGAAAATTCAAGGTTTTAACAGTTTTCAAAGTGTTAGACTCAGTGTTACTTTTGTCTTTTTGTATATAATATTCTCTCTTTCTAGTCCAATTATGTTGTTTTGTTTTGAAAAGCAACAAAAATCAATAAAGGACCAAAAAAAAAAAAAAAAAAAAAAAAAAAAAAAAAAAAAAAAAAAAAAAAAAAAAAAAAAAAGGTTGCTTTCTGCTTCCCCAGAGACTTAAATGTTGTCTACACTTAGGTAGAAAGATAGCAACTGGTCCATTAACTGAAACCCAAGGCTGTTTGAGAGAAGTCAGCAAGTACATACACCACAGCCACAGCTACTTGATCTAGTGGGATTTAGAATAGACTGCCATGACTCAAACTAAGTGTTTGCCAAGGCTTTGAGACTCATGCAGAAATGAATTTAAGCATGTGTAAATATCATGCACATACCAATGTGACCATAAAACTTGGTAAAACTTTAAAACCTGGGATTTTACTGGGAAAAACATCAATCTCATCCCTTCTTAGCCAAGGGCATCAGTTCAGTGAATCCAAAGACAGGAACTGGTCCTACCAAAAAACATATCATTCTTTATAAACCCTAGTTTCCAGTAAAATGATCATTTTCCTGATTTGACTTGTTCAACCCAATTTAAGAACAAACTGAGGGTTACTGGAGGGGTTGTGGGGGGGATGGGCTAAATGGGTAAGGGGCACTAAGGAATCTACTCCTGAAATCATTGTTGCACTATATACTAATTTGGATGTAAATTTTAACAAATAAAAAATAAAATTGAAAAGAAAAAAAAAGAATGCAAACAAAATTTGAGAATACTCCCACAAGACTTGATACCACCTCACAGCTGCCGATTTCTGGATCTCCTCTCCAGAGAATACTCTTCTCAGACAATCCACAACTCCTTACTCACCTCAAAGTCAAGTTCCTCACTCCCCTCTTCAAATGTCATCTTACCTTGCTGGCCTGTCATTCTTAGAACGGTGAGGGTCATCACTTTCTTTTGACTTTGAGTGTGCCGATTTAGTTGTTTTTGGCTATGGACAGAAAAAGAAGGAAAAAAAATGAAAGAAAAGAAAAGCACACATATAGAAAACAAAAGTAAGATTATTAGGTTTAGAAAATATCTAAATCATGCCAAACTCTAGTAATTTCAAGTTACTTACATTCAGTCGAACAACATGAAATATTTTTACATATGGCCATCAGAGATTTAAAAAAAATTACAGTCACAAAAGTATGCTGGAAGCTGTCAATGCAGCCAGATGAACGGCGACATACACATGAACATGCTCCCCCATAGGAATACACCTGGACACCCATTATTAACATAATAGCTGCACAGCAGCTGACCAGAACTTCCAGTCTGTGGAATGTTGGTCTGTGCCCTTAAACCTATTTCTGAAAATCTGACTTGGGGATGGTGATTTTCAAGCTAGGAAACTAAGGAACATTCAGTCCAACCTTTCTAAGAGAAGAACTCTACCAGCACCAATTATAGAATCTAGAAATCAGACTCTAATTTGCTAGAACACTTGCTAGACATGCGACCTCTCCCCTTTTACCTGCCTGATGTGCAATCCCCAAAAATACCTACTCCTTCATAGCTGGGTTAACAAAGAATCTGAGTAACTTCTGGGCAATTATTTGTAGCTTAAATTTGTATAAGTAGAAGCATTTGGGAGCCCTTCTTTTAAAATAAAATACATCAGGAAAAATCCTGAATTACTAGGAGGGTGAAAGAAGGAGATACCTATAAATAATTAACATGGAAAAAATACTTTCATTTGTTTTTCCCCGACAACTGAATAACTGAGCAATAGGAAATAGCGAGCAATACGATTATCATGGTTTCTATGTCTTCTTTTTCCTCCTAATCAATGCTGAGACTCAGACCGAACCAGAGATCCAAGGCAGGAATTTGTTTGAGAGAGAAGAGAAAGAGAGAACAGCGCTAAACATCAACTATGCGTGGGTACACACCCTAGCTGCGACCTCCCAGGCCTAGTACAAACTCCCTCTGAAAAGCCTCTACTATAGGAATTCTTGACCCCAGCAACTCCTCTGTTCTTCTACTATGCTTTCTTCAGCCAATTCAACCCTGTATTTGTTACCTGTCTAGTTTGTCTTCCTCCTACGTTATATATTATTATGAGGAAAATATATCTTTTTCTTTCCCTGCAAGTCCACAGTGGTGCAGTGCACACAGTAACTAATGAGTGCAGTCTGTTAAACTGAACTTGCACCCACCTCGTACAAAAATTAGACTATAGAAGAATAAACTGTGGTCAGTAACCATTTTGTCTAGTGTTCCTGATTAATGAGTGGAAGACAACAGTCCCAGCTCATGCTAGGCAGTTCCTATACTCTGACAGGAGATGGCTGCTGGTGGTATGTGTCAGCCTGCCACGGATCTAGTTATGTCAGAGGAAAGAGAAACAGTGGGTACATGATCACGGATGGACAGAGAGAAAGTAGAGAGAGAGAGAAAAGGCCACTGGGGAAACATGAAAGCATGTGCAAATACTACATTCTCCTGTAACGTAATAATATTTACCTATTTTACTAATATGTAAAACTTAGATTACTCATGACCAGTGGCATGTGCAACTTAATTGGTATTAAAATGAATGGAATGAGTTTTTCAATCTTAGCGGTTACTTTCTCATGGTTACTTTGAAGAATTATGATTTTTTGTAATGAAATAACATTTACGAGTCAGATTTGCATATGCAATACAAGTAATTTGTGTATGCCAAATACACTGGTAGAACTTACCCTAAAAGCAGAGTCCCCTTTATAATTAATTAATAAATAAAATAAGATAAGATAAAAACAATAAACAGAACTTACCTTCCAATCAGGGTCATGCTTTCTTTTGTCCAAAGATGATTTCTCCCTCTCCTTGGCTTTCTTGTAAGCTTTCTTTTCTTCAGCCATGAGGAGTCTAGCAATTTCCTAAAAAAAATCCAGTCAGTACCACTGATTGCAGAGTTATGGGCAGAAAATTACTGGGCTACTTCTGACGAGTATTAGTTCAAAAACTTATTAACTAATAAGAACTCACCTCATCCTGGGCTACTTGAGCTGCTCTCATGTCTACCTGGGTAGCCTATGGTACAAAAAAAAAAAAAAAAAAAAAAAAAAAAAAAAAAAAAAAAAAAAAAAAAAGGGTAATTTAATTAGAATCTGTGTTGTCCATTTTTAAAAATCTTACATAGAAATACACGAGTATTTCAAACCAGCTGTAAGTAACATCCTTGAAGTTTAACTGGTATACTTTCACCAGCCACCAGCCAGAGCAGGACTGTTTTATCATGTTCCACAGCAGATAGGGATATGGAATTATGATGGTAATGCTTACTCAGTAAGTAAAACTGGACACTCTATTCCCGTTATCTTGCTTTTCCACCCATACTCAACTCATAGAGGATCACAATGCCTATCACATAATCTCAAATTTTATTCAAGAAAACTTAGTGATTATCACCTAAACTTTTGCATGAAAATTTGCTCACCAAAATTTCTTCCTCTTGCAGTTTTCTGGCAATTTCAGCATCATACCACTCCTGATCCCTGTGAGCCACTCGTGATGGGGTAGAGACAGCCTCTTTCATTCCTCTTGGCTTCATTCCTAGAAAACTCAATATAATAAGGCGACTGCATTTGCTTTCTGAAAAGTTGCAAAGTTTAAGAAGTTATTTTTTGTATCTAATATTGACAATACTGGCACCACTACAGAATTCAGAGTGCACCAGAAATAATTTTTTCCCAGAGGCACAGAAGTCGTAGTGCAGATTATCCACACATTTAAACAGTTACCCACCCAAAAGTGCCCAGGAAAAACTCCCCTTTCACATACTTTCTTCAACAGCAGGAAATCATACAGTGAACTGTAAGTGAGGCTTTTGCAAAATAGCAAGTGAAAAAAAAAAAAAGGTTAAGATACTAAAATAAAAAAAAAAAAAATCAAGAAAGTTACAGAGTCAGAGTTATAAAGAGGCTGTCAAGACTGGAGGAAGTAAGAGTCTTCCTTCTATTTAACTCAGCCTTGTGTACTTTACTTCAGAAACAGCATCACCTCAGAGTTACATGACAGTCCCTGTTAGCCAACCAGTGGCCCTACTGTGGCTTCTGCTCTGACGGTGAACAAACCCACCTGCTCTGGATCTTTCCTGTAGTTTCCATCAGCTCAATGCTGTTGCTAAATTTTAGGGAAGATGTAACATAAGGGAAATACCAGAGAACATAATGACCTTAGATGTCTACTCCTCTGAGAAAAAAGGAACATGGGGTATGGGTAGGGAATTTTTCCCCTACTTTGAAGTTTTATAAGCAGCATATATTCTTTTTATAACTTTTAGTCAAGTGGTAATTGCTGATGTTTATTTCAACACTACAGATATTCCCCTCTGTGTATCCTTTATAAATTATAATTATTGGGCACCTGGGTGGCTCAGTCAGTTAAGCATCCCACTTCAGCTCAGGTCATGATCTCATGGCTCATGAGTTCAAGCCCCGTGTTGGCTCTGTGCTGACAGCTCAGAGACTGGAGCCTGCTTAGGATTCTGTGTCTCCGTCTCTCTCTGCCCCTCCTCTGCTCATGCTCTGTCTGTCTCTCTCTCAAAAATAAATAAACATTAAAAATAAATAAATAAATTATAATTATTCAACAATGTGAATGTATTATAGTGAGAAGTAATATTTTTAATGCCACAAACAAGAGTGATCATCTGGAATAGTGACTTTCAGTAAATGGATTATTGAAGGTAAAAAGAAAATTTACTCCTAATTACCTATTTCTTTGCATCAGTGATTCTCAGCCCTACTTATATATTAAAACCACGTGAGGTGCTTTACATAAACATACAAATCTTTGACTCAAACCTGAAGGACTAATTTAAATAACCTGAATGAGATCTGGCCTTTGGTAGTTCGGGTTGATTGTTTTAAATCTTAACAGTTGATTCTTACTTGAACATGGCATTGAAGCTATTAGTTTACTGTATTATGTCCATCAAAATAACCATACATTAAAATAATTTTTATCAAAATACTTCAATACACTTGATTCACTTGCTTTAAACAAAAAAGAAAAAGAATACAACTAAATTATGGGCACATGAAGAAATTTAAATTATCTGGTGAAGCCTTTGTAGAGCTTTGAACTTAGCTCTGTGGTAAATCCAAAAGCCATGGACTCATCTCTCTTTCCCACAAACATAGACTATTAAACCTGGCTCTCTTAGCTTCAGGCCTTTAGCGTCTGTGTACCTAGAATACCAAATCCACTTCAACTTCCCATCATCTCCAGAACTACTGAATCTTATATTGCTGGGCTGGGCAGGGCTAGCTTTAGTCAGATTTCTGAGTGGTTTGTGACAGTCAGGAAACAGAGGGATACTCATAAGAGTGGATCATATTTAAATGAAATATAAACCTCCCTAAGTTATGATTAGTTTGTTCATAACTAGAAAACAGTATTTCAGGGAAAAGACATGAAATTAGGGAAGCTGACATTGGACAAAGTTGGTGGAAAAGAGGTTGTGATACTATACTCCTACCTACAGAAAAAGGACACTTCAACAAATGCTCAACGCCTTGTTGAGTCTGACAGGGAAGATCACACTTATGCCTTACTCCTTCCATGTTGCCACCAGTGAAAGAAACAACAGAGTGGGATGTGTTCAGATTTGAACACACTAAACCTTCTCCCTTCTTATGCCTCCGCCTGTGCACCAAATTCACTGAGAAAATATTTTAATATATATCAAAGACATTTGGAGGACATTCAAATGAAATAGTCAAATAAACAGACTTATTTGATTTGACAGAGTGATAAGATTGTCACCTCCAGTCAGTTTAAAAGAGAATGACACAGGGGCACCTGGGTGGCTCGGTCAGTTAAGCGTCCGACTTCAGCTCAGGTCATGAGCTCACAGTCCATGAGTTCGAGCCCCACATCGGGCTCTGTGCTGACAGCTCAGAGCCTGGAGCCTGCTTCAAATTCTGTGTCTCCCTCTCTCTCTGCCCCTCCCCTGCTCATGCTCTGTCTCTGTCTCAAAAATAAACAAAAACATTAAAAAAAATTTTTAAGAGAATAACACATAGATCAATGGAATAAAATAGAGCCCAGGAATAAATCTGTGCATATATGTTCAATTAATCTATGACAAAGAAGCCAAGAATATATAGTGGGGAAAAGATAGTCTCTTCAGAAATGGTATTGGAAACCTAGACAGCTACATGCAAAAGAAAGAAACTAAACCATTTTCATATACCATATACGAAAATTAACTCAAATGGATTATAGACTTGAACATAAGACCTGAAACCATAAAACTCCTAGAAGAAAACATAAGCTCTTAGAAATGTTGGTTTTTTTTTTTGATTTGACATAAAAGTAAAGGTGACAAAAGCAAAAATAAACAAGTGGGACTACATCAAACTAAAATGCTTCTGCACAGCAAAGGAAACCATTAACAAAATGAAAAAGTAACCTATGGAATGGGAGAAAATATTTGCAAATCTGATATGAGGTGACTACCCAAAATACATAAAAAACTCATACAACACAACAGCAAAATACAATCTGATTTAAAAATGGGCAGAGTGGGGCACCTGGGTGGCTCAGTCGGTTAAGTGTCTGACTTCGGCTCAGGTCATGATCTCACTGTTCGTGAGTTTGAGCCCTGGGTCAGGCTCTGTGCTGACAGTTCAGAGCCTGGAGCCTGCTTCGGATTCTGTGTCTCCCTCTCCCTCTGTCCTTTTCCCGCTCATACTGTCTCTCTCTGCCTCTCAAAAAACAAATAAATGCTAGAAAAAAAATTTTTTTTTAAATAAAAAAAAAATAAAAATGGGCAGAGTGCCTGGGTGGCTCAGTTAGTTAAACGTCTGACTTTGGTTCAGGTCATATCTCATGGTTTGTGAGTTCGAGACCCGCATCGGGCTCACTGCTCTCAGCACAGAGCCCACTTTGGATCCTCCTTCCCCCGTTTCTCTGCCCCTCCACCACTCATTCTCTCATTCTCTCCCTCTCTCTCAAAAATAAATAAACTTTAAAAAAATGGGCAGAGGAACTGAATACACATTTTTCTAAAGAAGACATACAAATGGCTAACAGGTACCTGAAAAGGTGTTCAACATCACTAATCATGAGAAAAATGCAAATCAAAACCACAACAAAATATCACTTCACACCTGTTAGAAGGACTATTATCAAAAAGACAAGAAATAATAACTGTTGGTGAGGATGTGGAGAAAAGGGAATGAACCCTCATGCACTGTTACTGAGAACATAAACTGGAAACAGCCACTATGGAAAACAGTATGGAGGTTCCTCAAAAAATAAAAAAAATAAGACTACCATGTGACCCAGCAATTCCACTTTTGGGTATTTATCTGAAAGAAGCAAAAAGCACTAACTCAAGAAGATATCTGCATCCCCATGTTCACTGCAGCATTATTTACAGAAGCTAAGACATGGAAACGACCTAAGTGTCATTCAACATACGAATGGATAGAGAAAACTGTGGTGTATATACAATTAATATTATCCAGCCATAAAAAATAAGGACATCTTGCCATCTGCAACAACATGGACAGACCTTGATGGCATTATGCTAAGTGAAATGAGTCAGAGAAAGACAAATACCATATGATCTCAATTATATAGAGAATCACAAAAAAAAAAAAAAAAAAAAAAAAAAAAAAAAAAGCGCTCACAGATACAGAGAACTGACTGGGAGTTGCCAGCGGCAGACGGTAAGGAGTGAGTAAAATGGGTGAAAGGTATCAAAAGGTACACACTTCCAGTTATAAAATAAATAAGCCTGATGACTACAGTTAGTAATATTGTATTACATATCTGAAAGTTGCTAAGAGAGTACATCTTAAAAGTTCTCATCATAAGAAAAAAAAAAAAAAAAAAAAAAAAAACCTTGTGCCTATATATGTGATGAACGTTAACTAGACTTATTGTGAACATTTTGTAATATACACAAATATGGAATCATTACATTGTACACCTTCAACTAATATAATGTTATACATTAACTATATCTCAATATAAATGAATGAATGAATAAATGGTTAACTAATAAGTATCTGAAATAATATCTCCCTAAGTCCCAAATATCTAGTGGGTAAAGAGTTTATTTGAACTACTGATATATCACTGTAATTCACATGTCTCATAAGCAGAAAATCTCCATCATAAAATACTAGATTTCTGGACTGGCAGGACTGCCCACTAAATAGTAGTATGCTGTGTACCAAAGGTAAAAAGAGCTTATGTGAGTATTTAAGAAGGAACTTCAGATATTACAATGTAAGGCTGTACATTTCATTATAGAAAACAGAGATGCCTTAAAAAATTTTTTTAAATGCAGTTAGTTGAAAGAAATTGAAGGAATGGCTGCTCTCATCTTGGTAGCCTCAACAATCCAAACACCAGTTTTCAAAAGATCAGGTGAGCCATACTTAACAGTTTCACATTCAATTCTTAATCTAATCCTTGTCTCCTGTTCATCGTTCTCCAGTTTAAGGACACAAGGACCTCCGCCAACAAACACAAATACAGCTTACCTTTAAATTCTCACAGAATAAAACTGTTAAAAGTTTGCTTTTAAACTGTAGAAAAATTAATATGCTGTTATGATTTAATAGCTCATTAGAGAAGTTACCCTCAAAGATGTTACAGTTTTACTGTCCTTTAGAAAGTTAACCAATCTTATATTTAATTTTAACAATTGTATTTTGCATTCCTTTTTCAACTAACTATAAAAAAGCCTGCCCTCAAATTCTCTCATTAGCTCTTTGTCACTCTGCTAGTTTCTTAATTAATAAGTTAAATAAAATTTTGGCCTATGCCAACAACATTAAGAACTATGCTTTTACAAAAACAAGAATAGACACCAGTATTTAGTAATTGCATTTTAATGTAACCTTCTATTCGTGGGGTCACAAAATCAAATGCCTGCAGTAGCTAGGAAGATAGAATTTCTAACGTTGAATATCAAGACCAGCAGCTCTGTTGTAGCCATTTGAGTACCTGCCTAGCCACCTTTTTTTTTAAACCATTGCTGAACTGAATTTTCATACGGTTGCTGAACTGAATTTTCATTTTCTTTATGACCAAGTCTTTTAATAACTTAAATGACTAACATGATAGGAAGAGATAACACAATAGGAGAAACAAACTAAATCAACCTGAATCTGCAACCTAACCAGTTTCCAGACCCAAAAGTAGAGGTTGGCTGGGCAACAGTTAGGAAGAAAATAAGTAGAGATACCTCGTTGGTACTCTCCAATAACCCTTGCATTGCTGCAAAACTTCAATAAGAGTACAATAGAACCAGGGAGAGGACTATGGTCTAATTATGACTTACAGTGGTAGAACCACAAGGAAAACATCACCATACAGCAGTTTCCAGATAAGAAGAGAGAGAACCATTACTGGGTCAATGAAGGACTTCAGAGGTAAACTTCAGACATGCCAGAACATTCACCTTATTCCTAAACAAATGCCAAGAACTTACCGGATACCGGCATTTCAGAACACCAACTGTAGCATTAGAGTCGTTGATGGTTAGAGCCTAGAAAGTAACTTAAGGAAATGTCTTCAAACTTTAAGTGCAGAAAAATTACCTCAGGTCTAAAATGAGTCCAAACTGCCAGGAGAAACTATAGAAATTATAATACGTGTGAGATCCAGAAAGCTGCTTCTTTAGGAAGCAGCCCAGCTGATTCTGACAAAAATAGACCAAGGCCCACAATTTGAAATATGCTGTTATAAGAGAATGCCTATCTGATCTCTCACTTTACACATGGCAAAGATGAGACCAAAAGAAGCTAGTAATTCCAGCCTTGATTTTCTAGTTAGGCAAATAATACGAAGACAGTGTCACAAGATCTGACTTACACCCAGAAATTCAGGAGCTATGATTTGGTATCTGATTCTCTGGTATATGGTCTTGACAAATGAAGAACTGTGTCTGGGATGGGCACGTCCACTGCAATCTGGGGCTGGAAGAACTTTGTAAGGAATTGGTGAATTTTCTTGGAAGGTAGTAGTAGAAATGTACAAATATGTTTCTTCTTCCTATATACTTGGTATTAAGTAGATACCTTTTATAATATTTGGCTCCAGGATTTATTTCAAAGCCATGAGTACAAACTACAGAGAAAGAATACGTTGCTGAAGATGCTTATTAAATACATTTGCTTGTATGTATATACATGATACCAGGATTTTCAACATGACTGTCCTTTATTACCTGTGTCATGGAGTTGGAGCCATTTCTCACTCTCTGAGAAGGGAGGAGTCCTGGGCCTGTGTTTCCTTTCTCTGTGCTCACCTTGCCCACGGTCCCTCCCATACACAGCTTCCTTGTAATGAAGCCCCGATTTCTGTGAAGACTTGGGTGAAAGTCGGTCTTGTTGTCTGGACTTTTTTTCCCAATTCTGAGTTCGATGGCTACTGTTAGCCTCCCAGTCATCAAATCCAGTACTCAAAAACACCTCACCACTGATCTTGGGAAGTGGAGGTCTCCGAAGTCTCTCATGATCAGACCGCTTCCTTTCACGCTGCTCAGAGTCATTGTGGGGACTGCCCCTCACTTTGCTTGAGCTACAGGATGACAGAAGTTTCCCTGATGAACAGTAATCTTCTAGCTCTTCCAAGTTCTCCATTGGATGTTTGGGTTTCTCTTTCCTTTGCTTCACAGTGTTTCCATCACTTTGGAGTCTACAAGACCTTGAGACTCCAGAACCCAATTCCCTTGCCCTCCTTGACTGTGGCTGGTCTGAGTGGAAGTGGAGGGATGTGAAAAATAGAAATGTAGGTTAACTTAATGAGCATATGAACTCACCACACAGGAAAGACAGGGCCCATATTTTAAAATGGAGAAGACTAGTTTTTCAACAAACTGCAAAGAGGGGATGGGCATTTATTGGATTGGCCCAGGAATAGATGATGGATTCTGGGTACACGGTCAAAAATTTAAAAGACTAAAATTATGTGAAATAACTTAAATCTGAAAGAAGAGCTTGATTATGATTATGGAGACTTAATACAGTACTTTAATATTTGCCAATAACAAAAGCCATGGCCATTAAATGTTAAATTCTATTTATAAAACCAATTTGGAAGTATTATGGGGGGAAAGTAGGGGTTGAGGGAGTCTCATAAAACAGAAAACAACCAAGCTTTGTGATAATTAAGGTTTCCAGGAAGAGGCTTTCAAATATTCTTATTGGAAATGATAATAAATCTCTATAAGAATGTTGCTAGTTTCCATTAGAGTCTGAGAAATGACCCAGTTTTTAGTATTCCCCTACTCTCTCTCCTTAGGTGGCCAAAACAAGTATTCCCAGCCATGCAGTTCAATGTGGAAGAAGATGGGGTAGAGAATTTTAAGTGAGTAAATGACCCTGTTATCTTTGGGTAACTCTGCTCCCAAACTTAACTTAAATTTTACAGAGGAAAAAATTAAAAATGGATGCCATAATAGAATACAGGAAAAGGAGTCCCTTCCATCCCTACATTCACTTCAAAAAACATGATATTGTATTCTTTCTATAAAAAGACAATATGTGCTAAATATACAAATCCCTGATGTAACACAGGGATTTCAGTAACAAATTTCAGTAACAGCACATAGAGGTGTGCTTTTGTCCAGTCTCATTCGGGCACAAGCCTATTGTGAAAATGAAGGAAGGGAATTACTATGCACTTTGCAGGGCATATTTAACATTGTGTAAGACCCTTAGTACATGTTGTAATAAAAATAAATCACGGGGCACCTGGGTGGCTTAGTTGATTAAAGCATCCAAACTCTTGATTTCTGCTCAGGTCACAATCTCACAGTTTGTGAGTTCGAGCCCTGCACTGAGCTCTGCACTGACAGTGCGGAGACTGCTTGGGATATTCTCTCTCTCTCTCTCTCTCTCCCCCTCACTCCGTGCGCTTTCTCTCTCTCTCAAAATAACTTAAAAAAAAAAAAAAAAAACAGAAGAAAAGAAACCCTAGTTCCAAGAAAACTACCAAATTATCTAAGATTTGTTCCCTGCTGAAATTACTCACTTGCTGAATTGCATCTGAAACAGCTACCCCAATTTGATGGGATGTAGAGGAAATAAAGGACTATACATTTTCTTAGTTTTTAGGGTTTTTCTTTCATTTTGTTTTTGTTGTCTTAGCTTTGTTATTGTTAACCTAATAAAGGAACTGAGAAAGGGGAAATTTGTGCTAAATGTATCACTGACGCCATAACGCTTCTCAAAACCTTCAAATTGTTTCCTCTTGAGCTTTCCAGAAGAAAAGGAAATTTGCTTCAAAGATGATATCCAAATTAAAATCAGTCTTCTAAAATCATCTGAAGAATTTTTGATTAAATTTATTTTTTGCATAAAAGCAAAACTGAAACAGAACAATTACTCTCTATGGTAAAAAAGTATCTATAATTTTAGCAAACTATCATTTTAAGTGTGTCTTGACAACTGAGAATCAATTGACTACTGCTATGAATTATTAATATAAATTGACTAGCTACTTAAATGATAACCATATCCAGGGAACAATGGTTCAGTGTTAATACCAATGTTCCCACAAAGGGCTGCATGAATGAAGTCTGCCTTCTAGCTCCCAAAAAACAAGGGTTCTGTTTTTGACATGGATATGTGAGGCTATGATTGTTCTTTTGGTGGTGGTTTTAATCCTTTCTGAAAAGTTAACTGATAATCAGTTTTACTTTAGTTGAATGTGTTTCAAGAGTTAGAACAGAGCTGTCACTACATTTTCACAGAGTTGATAGGAAAAAATATCTATTGTCTACTTCACTTGTGTTATCTTCAAACCTGGGAAAGAAAAAAGACTGGGGTGGGGACTGGGACTTGTATTTTTCTTGTGACCAAGTTATTTGGCAAATATAATTAAGTTCCTTAGAGCCAACACGTATGCATTTATATATACACATACATATGTATATGTATATACACACACACTTTGTGTGCTTCCATGTTTGTCTTTCAAAATAAGATGATTTTTGTTTAGAAATGGAAGATACTGTCATACACACATAACACTGATACATGTATGAACAACAGTACTTTGGAGTTTAAGTCCTCACCAAAATTACATTATTTGATCTTCTCAACACCCATGTGAAGGATGTATTTTTAAACTCTCCATCTTACAGATGAGAGAAAGGCTTAATGTGATTATAGTAAATAACTTCTCAACATTACAAATGCTCTAAGGAAGGAATGAAACTTGAACCAAGGTCTTATGACTCCAAAGACCATGACTTAAAAGAGACTAATATGCCTGTAATACAGGTCAGTGGCTTTGAAAGAAAAACATGGATTCACAAATGAATAAGACATGCCATTTTAGTTGATATAAATCTGACAGATGTTTTAGATAATTTCAGATTTGTAGAAAATCTATAAGTGATCATTTTTAAGATTTACACTGAAGCAAAATAAAAGCTGAAAAGAGGACCACTTCCATAATGATCTATTATAATTATTATATAAGTATGGCAAAAATCAAAGTACACATAAAGATAGAGAAGTACAATTAAAGAATATCCCTATGTGTTGGGAAAAGACAACTGCAAAGAACCTAAGAATTACTTTGAGCATATGAGCCGAATTATGATGGGGTTTCTGTGGAACTCAACTCGGTCTAACTCAAAGGCAAATGAATGAGGATCACACATGTTCAGCAACATATAAACTCTCAACAACACAACTGAAAAGGAATTCCAATATTCACATACATATGCTCAGGAGGTCAAGACTTCATGATTTTAGTAAATGTTCCTGAAAAACCACTGAATTCTTAACATAGGTAGTCCCCTGCCCTCAAGAATGATAGCACTCTGATCCAAACAACCAGATTTGAGTCCCAATTCCAAGTAGTGTAAAGTTTTAACAGAGGGAGGCTAAAATTAATACTTTAGTATACTTAATTACTTGCCATCCTAATGCTTTTCTAGACTTAATAGTTTTATTTTAGTGACTTTTATTTGCAGTGAACATGATTCCAGAGCAGAATTAAAAATAAAAACAAATAAAAAACACAAGAGCACATTTCTAAGGTTATAACTGAATATGAAGAATAAACTCTTCACATTCTGGTTTCCAGCACAAAACTATAAGGCAATACTGTTTGTTTGTTTTTTAATTATGTGATACATGATTTCATTAGAAAAACAAGCATAATGAAAATGGTTATCAAGAAAGAACTGAGCACTTTACTTATGGAAGGAGAGCACATCAAGCAATAGAGAGAGAATCAACCTGCCTACGAACTATGCCACAGAGCCGAGCTCTACTGGTAACAAATGTAGAACAATGTGGCTGGGCAAGATTGTACTCAACGGTAATAATCCTAACATCTGCATATGCATTCCTTTCATTCCACTCATCAAACACAAACACCTACTTACCTTTTACAATGAAATCACAGAGAAGTAATTGATAATTAGTTCACAAGAGACTTTAGTAACATGGACCTTAATGTCTTTACTTTCTAGAATCTGCTTTAGGTTTTCCTTACTTGTTATCCTAAGTGTGGTCTCCCAGCTGAACTGCAATCAATACGGACACTAGAATTAGAGGAGATGTCTTTCCTTTGACAGATCTTTAAAAAGGATGGGACAATACTTGAAAATACTCATTTCCCAACACACTAGTAAGAGAAAGAATCACCAGCACCACAACCGCCACCACAAAGCACCAGTACCACACTGCAAAAGCAGGCACTAGAGAAGAGAAATTCTGAAGGGGCTTTTCACCCTCAGGATTTTTTTCTTTATGGTAATCAAACAGCAAGAAAGCAAAATAGCAAGGACAAATAATGAACATGGAATCTTAAATTTTAATTTTGTCATCAACATACATACTCAGTGGCCTATGTTTAAAACACAAGAGCTTTGTTACCCAACTGATGTGTTGCGTACCATCTTCATTATTCATGGCACTCTGCTGCCTCGGACACTGTGCCCAGACTTCCTTGAGAAAGATCAAGCCCAGAGCCTCACCCCCATTTTCCACACCCCAATTTATGTGCTTAGAATGTAGTACAGCGTTCCAAGTGGCTGCAGCACGAAAGAATGCATGCCAAATCTTACAAAATGCCAGTTGTTTTAACAGCCATGAAAATGGCTCTGGTCATCCAACTAAAGAACAGACGAATTCAGATTCACATAGAATTTGGCCATAAATCCATATGAACCCTGAGGTCACTTTACAGACAGATTTAAAGGAGTGTCCTATGGTTGAGTCTAAGGATAGAGTAAGTCATAATGTAGTCATTGTTACCTCCATTTTCATAGTAGTAATTATCTCCATAAGCACTGGATCCAGAGGACTCTGGAAAGTGTTTCTTTCGCTTTTTCTCTTCCTGTAACTCCTTTTCTTGCAAAAGGCGAGCTATGTCCTGCAAATAAAGAGAGAATGCTAATAAATATTACCAGAGAACAAACAAACCTTTTACAATGAAACAAACTCCATCCAGTGGCCCTAAAGTCAATGGTTTGACCCTCCACTGCCAATCTCTTATGGACTCCATCCATAGCTTTCCAGACTTCATGGCATTAAGCTCATGCTATTCAAATACTCAGTGGAGTAGCACATGATCCAGATGAACAAGAAAGACTTTTTGGTTAATTGAAATTTAAACCTAACTCAATCTGGGACATACAAACCTAGTATTCCTAAAGCTGATTAAACAACAGAATTTTTAAAATTCTTATTTGTGGGCCCTTTTTCCAAGACGATGATTCACTAAGCCTGGATGGAAAAGAGTGCAGTAATCTATAAAACATTAAAATTGTATATACAATTTAATTTTGAAACTTTGAAAAAAATTATTTGGCTGATTTAGCTTTGCATTAGAGCACCACTGAAAAAGACAAAATGGTCTTCCTCCTATCTCCCCCTTGCTTCTTTGCCAGGCAAGTTTTTACAGTTACTGAGTGATGAATAACATTCTGACCCTGCCCCCCCAGCCTATGATGGCAAAAGTATATGCAAATAACTAAAATACAATTAAATCATGAATGCCTCAATAAAAGAGTAAAAATGTCAATGTGAGTATTAAAGAGGCAAATCTTATTTCTGCTTACATGAATTAGTACAAGTCTTTGCATTTGGAATTACTGTTTCATAAA